ATATATAAGGACTGACACAGCGAGGACTCAACCGTAGCTACTTCTGGACTGTAAATGTATTTTCTATATTTACAAAGTGACTGTAACTATGGAATATGTTTGAATATGATTGAAACAAAGTATGACAGTATAACCTGAGAGGGGTACTTTTGTTCAGGAATATATGTCTGTCCTGCAAACATTGTTTCAGTCTTGCACCAGGCAAGACTCACGTCTTCCAAAGATAGACGCAGAGAGCAGCCCTAAACAGATCACAGGCTACTTCATTTTAATAACAATATTCATCATTCAGTCGTGTGCTGTGGGTGTTAGTCTTAATCAGACTATAACATGGCTTGACTACATGTTCACAGCTTTGTTTCAGTAGTTGCTATTCTTTTTTGCCACAGATTGTTTTATGATCAATAAAACCTTAAATCTATTGAATTTCATAATAGTGCTCTGGCCTCTGTGTGCAGGTCTTCAAGACAATACCACGGCATGTAGCTCCAGTCTGCGGCAGTGTTCACAGTGGTAAGAGTCCTGACGGTAAGGCAGGTGTTTGGACATCAGACCCAAAGCAGCAGTGGCAAATGCAGCACTGATGAGGTGCAGCACCAGGACACATTTCACCTGCAAATGACAACAGAAGTGCTCATTTACAATAAGGTAATTACTCAAAACCTAACCCCAGCATAGAAAAGCAGTGTTTTACAATATATGCACTACTCTGCAGCATCCTTCACATTTGCCTGTGAAAAGGCTTTCATTGGCCTTTTGTTACCAGTTACGTCTGTGACGCTGGTATTGTTTTCACCTGGTGGGTCTGTGTCATAATGGTACAATTTGGTCCTTGAGTCACCTACTGCAGGAAATACCACAGTGCCAAGTGTTTATGTATGTTTGTCTGTGGACAGGTTTTTTCACCACGACAGCTTCACAAGCGTGTAATTGTGTAGTTGAGATCAAAATGAAGGTCGAGTTTGAAAATGGCAAGGGGGTTGCAGGGGCCATTTGAGCTCTTAGTGTTCCCAAATGGCACCACTGAACACTATAAAATATTCAAATATTCTTACAATAAATGATGGTGCATTTTTGTCATAAAAATTAACTTTAGTTGTAGCCATTTAACAGTGAGTTATTTAATTGTCTGGCATCAGTATAATAGTTTAGCATTTTGAAACTAGAGGCCTAAGTGTACTCGTGTTTTGTAGGGTGAATGGCTTTTACTGAATGAATCTAGCTGATTGTGTGTGTACAAAAGCGACCTGTATAATGATACTCACCCAAAACAGAGTAGGTTTCCTCCCACTGTGGACCAACACTGAACCAGACAAGGTCACCTGGTGGGTTACAATACAACTTACTTAGACACAGTACTTTCTACTGCGGGAAACATGAAAGTCTGACAACATGACAAAACTAACCTGTATGACAACAATCAGGAAGAGGGCCACATCTCCTGTAAAGTGGACCTCATGGATCTGGAGCACAGAGGCACTCAGACAGAGAATCAAAGCCCCAATAACGATCTGGATTGCCTGAGAGAGAGGGGGGGTTAGGAGCAGTTAGCCTAGGTGACCAGCAAAATATGGCAATATTTGTCAGAATTTCAGAGCTCTCTATTGTACAGTGACCAGACGGTTTGTCTGGGATTGTCCCGCTTTTTGAGTATCCCAACAAGGTGTTCCAGATTTATCAGATGTATTTCGGCTATTTATTTAGGTAGCTATTAGTTTCTGTTTGATGCTCCTTCATTTTGATTTATTTATTTGGGTATTTTTTTAACTTTAAGATTGATGTTCATTTCAACAGTGATCCAGTTAGTACAGTCTGTAATAGAGTCAAAGATTGTCCATTCACATCACTATCATTATTATATCGGCCTTTAAAAATTGATATCTAGTCCTCATTGTATAATGAGCGTATGCTCAGAGCAACTGATGTAGTACAAAGTTCGAGATGGAGTAGATGGGAGTGGGGGTGGTTGGGTCAAACAAACACCAGACTTTTGTCCAGATTACCGCTGTTCTGTGTCCAGTACGAAACTAAAAGTAAACGTCAGTCTTTGTCATGTGCGCTCACCCCTAGAGTCTTTGGCTCCATCTTGAGGTGGGACTGCAGTTGGCCCGGGGAGAGGGTCCCCACTGCAGGCATTGGATCTTTGTCATTAAGAGCCATCCTGCTGGAGAAAGAAAACAGTATTTACAAAATGATTCAGTCAAAGAAAGGGAGTACAGCTAAAGAATGGAGAGGATTGTTGAAAGAAATGAAGTTAATATACTGTAAAATATGCACAAGGATGTTGGTGACACGATTTACCTCAGAGACTGTCTATGTATATCTGATGATGTCCCGTGGTTTACCTTCATTCTATCTATCCGATCTGTTAAGACAGTATACGCCACCAAAAGGCAGAGAAGATGAAAACTGCTAAACAATGCAGGCTCCAAAATGTTCCTGGTGCATTCCCTAGCATCATTAGAATATGTGATGAGCTCACGGCGTACTTGTGTCCTTGTGGCCATGCTCTTTAAAAAAATACTGTATAGCGACAGGGAATCCACAGGGCCACTGTGATAAAGTCACCCTATAGTTTGAAGAATCTATTAACATGTTTTTTTTATTAACTTTTCTGATATAAGCATTTCTTTATTTGATTTAGACTTATGTTCGACAATTATGTTAATACTCTTTTAAAATTTTCTGACACTAAGTGATGCTGAAGACTCAAAATGTTTTCAAAATGTCATCCATCTTCACTGTGAGTGACTTACATGTTTTCAGACTGGGCACTCAGAGAGCTTCATTCACTGATGAAGACTGACATGCAGTTGAAAGCTCAGGAAAAATAAAAAGTTAATCGTTGTGTTGACATTACTTTGTCAAAATGTTCTGATGTGTTCAAAAGTGCAATGACAATTTCACCATATAGTCGCATCCAATCTGCTGACTTGTCAAAAATGTGTATAAATCCATAGTAAACTCGAATTAATATTTTGTGTACATGGATTAACTAACAGCAATCTTCACTGAGTGACAAACATTGTGACCAGATGCCCCACTGGCCCCTACTATCGCTCCAGGTAACATTCATGTGCTGATACAGTCCAGACCAAAGGTTGAACACTAAAGGGGAATAGACGGTCCAAAAATATTTATAAATATGACTCTCCCAAATCGAAAAACTAGAGTGCCAAAACTCATCTGTGATGTCAAATATAAAGCCTGGAACTGCTCCATAGACAATTAATCTCATCTCCATTGGAATGGCGGCGCATGTAGATGTGACGGCTAAAACACTATGTTTTTGAACAGCCATTTTAACGAACTCTGTGCAATCAAATAGAGAATGACATTCAGTGCTTCATGTGGCCGAACAGGAACGCCAACATAGAGAACATTCCGGTAGTCCGCAGTAGACACCTGGGCGCTGGCGGGAACGCAGTGGGATTTGGCACAGCTCCAGGAGCAGCCCTAACAGGTCGAGCCGTTCTGTGCAGGCGTCCTGGATATTTATTTGTACAGGACCTCCTTAGAAGACTAACGCCATGCTTTCCTTAGAACTGTGTCTATGCAAACTACTGTGATGAATGACACATGAAAGCTGACGTTTCGCTTCCTCGGCGTTGTCGTCAATGACACTTCTTCCTGTCCCACGTTAACGTTACCTGTCCTAGTTTCTCCTGCAGGACGAAAAGCAGTGAGCAGACGATCTTACCTCAGCTGTGTTCCAGCAGCTCGCCGTCTCTTCGTATCTGCGCGGTAAACGTGTAGCCTACAGCCGTGGTGCTGTCCGTGTTGTTGGCTGCTCTGCAGGCTGCAGCAGGGTGTGTTCAGGCGCTGGATTTCACTGCAGTAACGATGATGCTGCGACTTCTGCAGACTTGCTGCAGTTCACATGCACGACTGCAGACAGGGGAGCCAGCAGGCTGTGCTTCTATATTACGCAAACCTTCCAAAAAAGTACAACACGCTAACCCTTACTAATGTTGAGATGATGCTCTATCAATACAATTTTCTTTCTAGAAGTCTGCGTACAGTAAGAGGACACAGCAGGAAATGGCGGGGCGGTTTTTGGGACCGTAATACTGCAGTGGTGCCATAATGACTTTTGAATTGTGTGTGTTACAAATGACTGTGGTGGGTGGAGGGTCTGAGGGCATGCTCCCTGGAATGACATTTTGGACGTTTTGAATTAAATGCATCGATCTGCTGCACTTTCACAACGAAATTAAGAGGCTAAATCTATTAAGAACTTTAAGATCTAGTGAACAATTTCATTCTGAACAGAGGTTGTATAGAGATGACACAAAGTCACACCCACAGAGCATGGTAGTGTTGGTGTTTAAGACAGGTCTTGCCTTCGTCACCGCAGACCCTTGAGGACAAAATGGTTGTATGATTGGATAAAGGTCAACATCTTCGACGTCATAGGCTTCGACATTATCGCCAACGATCTATTACCGTAATACCTGGCTTAGACGTTAATAATTTATTACCAAAACACCAGCAAGTGGGGGAACAAAAATGTGATGCCTTCCCTGTGTCAGCGTGAGTTTCCTCCAGATACTCCAGCGTACTCCCACAGTTCAAAGACGATTAAATCAATTAGCTAGATGGAACTAAAAACTCACAATAAGAATTCTGTTATCAGCTGATTGAGTGAGAGTTATCAGCAGTTATCAGCCTCATAGAAATGGGTTAGATAACATGAATACAAGAAGACACATTCAACTTCTAGTAATTACGCCAGGAGTAAAGTTGGAAGTTAGGTAACTTGGTAGAGTGACAAAGTCTGCATGGGATGGTGGTGGAAAGACAGGATTTTCACAAAGGAGACTCCTATTTGTGTCCTGTGTCAAACCAAAAATCAATGACTTATTTTACAATTACTTTTTCTAACCATATATAGTCCACATAAGTTACATAACAAACATCCTTATTTTAACCCAAATATGCTTTTTCTAAACTTACTTTTGTTAGCTAAACTTAGTTGTTTCATTTCAATTCACATTGTTAGGTTTCACTTGCAGCTCTGCCCGTTTGAAGCATTAGAACGGTAGTGTAATGGTAGGGTAACCACTGATAACACAAATTTATTCGACAGATAACATTCAAAATGGGTGGGTATATCATACATCTCGCTACTAGAGAGCTACTACTGTGTGCTACTACATGCAGCACACAGTTCGAAGCAACTGACTTCTCTTAAGACTGACTATTGAACCAAGGAGTTCTCATTTGGACGCTTTGGCTCCTCCATCCTCACCATGGTTGTCCTCCATTGACATCACTGACAATATTTTCTGACTAAAAGTACTCAGCTTTGGGGCGACAAAGATATGCCAAGATTACCGACTTGCTCATCTGAACGCCATGATTGCTTGTGTGAATGTTTGTGGGCGGTGACGTGATGAAGTGAATGATCTTGTTACTACAAAATCTTTACTTAACATGGTGCTTCATGTCAATCACGTTAACCGCTTGAGGGAACCTGACAGGCTGCTGAAACCATGCGAAGGGTGCTTCAGGTAACTAGGGTATTTTACGAGTGGACTGCTAGTAGTTCAATGCCATTCATCCCTAGACATCATCCGATCAATAGCTCATGTGTGGTCACACTATATTTAACAGTGGCCAGCGCAGTACCCCCCCCCCCCCCCCCCTGTGCACATAGAAGTTTGAAGTTTCTCCCATGTGCGATTTTTTCACTTCCCCCTATCTAGCCATCAAAATGAAATGACTGACAATCGAAGCTCAGCTACCATTGACTTTTGTCAGTGCTGTGCGCTTGCCTCCTCTCTATGCTGAAGTGCTTACAGATGCTGAGGGATAGAGGGTTAATAAAGTCACACAACTTCAGTTTAACATTTCAGTATTTATCTATCCTAATTACTGGAAAATTCAGAAAAATAGAATGCGAGTTTTTACACGATATACATCTGGAAAATGTATGATACATTAGTCAAAGTAGTTGACTAATGCTGTGGTACTCTTCTGAGTCTTCATGAGTTATACCTGCAGACAGAAAGTTGTACAATACAACATCACACACTGACCTCACAAATAACAGCGTGACATTACCACAACAATCAGAATACTCTAATCCTCAAAAAGGTAAGATCTGTATGGCACCCCATGACAGTTAAGGGTTATTAAACCTTAACTTAAGTTTCGGATTCAAGATGAAATAGATTTAAGCCATGAGGTGGCGCCAAAAGACAAGCAGGTTTTCTGTGGCTATGATTACATAACCACAGAAACCCTGCTTGTCTTTAGTCGGTGTGTGAAGCCACAGCATGGGTCTAGCAGTAGTGTGGAGTGCTAGACTCAGTACCAGTAGCTTCACAACTCAGAATGCTAAACGAAGACATACAATGGAATACCTTAAATACTTATATATACTGTGGATATACTATAACATTTTAGCTGTCTGCAGGTACTGAACGTTGTATCCTGTAACAAGAGTTTAAGTAACTTCCGCATCGGCTTCACTTCACTCAGACCCGGAGCATTCCGCCTGACCTACATACACAAATAATACCTTACGGCAGCTGTATTCTCACAATGTTACAGGATCATGCAAGAGAAAGGTTCTATGGAAAGAACTATCTGTCAGATCAGGCTACTACTACTCTCTCCAACATTAAACTACGTGGGGAGCTGCTAGTGCAAACTAACATTTTAACAGAATATTGAAACATTTCAAGTCTTCATCACTTCACTAAACACTATGGGAAGCTGCAGTGCCTTGGTCGAAGTCATTGTTAAGGGTATTCCTAATTCCTTACATGTATGTGTCGATGTGGCACAAAAAGTGTTTGGAAACATTTACGTTAACCTCTCTTACTAACCCAGCAGCCGGCGCTTCATTTGTCTTGTTGTGACAGCTGTGTTCAGTGTCATGTTGTAGAACAAGGAAATGCTTTTTTCACAGTTCACAACTTTGAAGCTGCAGCTGGTGGGAGTCTGTCCACGTTTAATAATATCACATTCCAATAAGGCCAACACTAGATAGATGTGGCATTCTCCACCCTGTTGGGAGATGGGTCGTAACACAGGGAGCCCCCTGTGGTGCCTATGGCACTCGTCCAATGAGACCTTAGTGTTGAGTTTGGACCAAAAATCACACGTAGGTGAGATTTAACGTCTCGTGGGGCTTGGTGTGATTTTAACCCAAATCAGGCTGTTGAACCATGTAGGCCCAACTAGGCCCAACTAGGCCCAACTCCCTTTGTTCCAACCACATGGTGAAGTCCCGACAACCCCATCTTGGAGATATCACTTCATATCCTTGTACCTCTTTTACAGTACTCTTGCATCCATTTCTCAATGAAATAATAGAGCTGCCCAGGTGAAATATAAATCTTTACATGGATAGTAAATTGTTAAAGATACACAGAAATATTTCAGCAAAAGAAAAATAGTCCAAAATCTTGGGGGTTGCAACATCACTGAAGACCTATCACACTCTGGACACATCCTGTTCCGACTCGTAGGAGCTACAGAACACTATACGCCAAAATAACCGGACACACGGATAGTTCCTTCCAGCAGGCAGTCACTCTGACGAACAGACTTTATGTTATCATTATGAAGATGAGGATACATCTCTACATGTAGTTCTGCACGTGGTAATGGTAAATGGACTTTTATTGTATAGCGCCTTTCTAGTCTTCCGGCCACTCAAAGCGCTTTAACACTACATGTCATTCACACACTGATGACAGGGGCTACCAGCAACATTTAATGAATATCAATAAATGCAGGTGCTGATGAATCATCATGTAATAATCAAGGTTATAATGAGAATGTCTTTAAATTTGAAGAAATAATTTAGAAGTGCATGTGTTTTAAAGTGAGTGGACATTATGTAAATATATCTCGCATCAAATATATATTCTGCCCAACACAGGGATGTTCAGCCTCATATGAACCAATATTTAATGCAGATGCGTTTAATGCTGAAAGATAACATACTCCTTTTCCCTGACTATAATTGCATCCATCATACAGGTTTAAATGAGAAAATTAAGTTGTTTTAGGCTTCAGAACACAAATAAAATCTGCACTTGGTGGTGGAATTTTATATGCACCAGTATAAAGCTGTGGTATCAGAGCTGCAGCTGATCAGAGTGAAGGGGGATTTGAGATGTACTTCAGGATGGCAAACCAGACCAATTTCTAGGTCACCCGAGGAGTGAAGAGACATGAAATAAGGCAGATGAGAAACGCCCCAGAAAGCTGACAGTAACCTCTTTATTGAAGTGCATGTAAAAACACTGAGTGACAGCACTGTGTCATCACAAAAGAGGTTATGGCTACAGGTTTACTGATGTGTCCAAATGGCCCATTGTGTATGATGCACAGGAAATAAGTGATAAGCATCATGTCAACTATAGCCAAAGCATGTTCCCATTATGTGTGTAATACCATCGCACAAACAAAAGATAAACAAGCCTACTGGTCTGAGCTCTGCGGCCCTTTCCGACCAGTTAATTATCTTTCCTGCAAAATCAGTTTGTATAAAATGTATATAAATTGCCAAAGCAAATGAGCAGGGACCCACCTCCCTGTTTGGAATGAGAGGACAATTTAAAGCAATAGTTGTGATGTTTTGAAGGGAGGTTGTATGAGCTACTTCTCCATAGTCAGTGTATTACCTTCAAGTAGATGGAATTTGGAGAAACAGACAGGAGTACAAAGCAATGTACTGTTGTGGACAGGGGCAACAGCGAAACATATTTTAGACACCAACAAATGTAATATCAGTTTCAGTGTATGCTATATTCAGAATATTGTTGGAGGGCAACTGAAGAGAAATCTAGACTTTCTTCAAAGCCACAAGACCAAGATAGTATATATACACGTTTCTCTTTCAGTTCAGTTCCCTGTAACAAAATATTATTTTTAGGTGTCTAAAATATGTTTTGCTGCTGCCCCCTTGCAGCAGTGCATCGCTTCCTTGCTGGTACTGCCGTCTGTTTCTTCAAACTCCATATACTGACTATGGAGAGGTAACTAATACAACCCCAGTTGAAAACATCTGAACAATCCCTTCAAAAGCCAACATTTTGTTCATGTATGTTTTGAATGAACTCTTGAAAATGCAATGGTCCAATAAAAAAAAAAAATATATCTTTGGCGGTCACTGGCTTTGCATCAAACACTCACTAGTCTATAAAAATGTTTAAAGAACCAGCTGTATTGGATCAGCTTGTACCTTTTGGTCTCAAGTGTTACTGTCTAGTAAGTGAAAACATTTCGGACAGTGGACATGTGTTTCAGTGTCTGGCAACAAGAAAAAGTCTCATCCCATCAGTTATGTGTCTGCATTTAAGTACGATGGAAAGATTGTCTTTCATCCTATTAGATCCAAATCTTACCCATCAGGATCAGAGTCCACAGTGTTTGTACTGTCTCATTGGCTGTGCAAACAGAACCTCCCACTGAGCTGACTGACTATCACCATGGTAATTCTGGTACCTGGAATGGCCTTTCCTCCCCTCTGATCTCAGAGACTGTTCAGATGGGGGTGTTAGGCAAATGCCCATTAGAGCCTGTGAGTGCCCCATTACAAACTAGCCCACTAGCCTGTTCATTGCATTTGCTCAGAAACCTGTTCCCCTTGAGAGCCTCCTGCTCAACAGGGGTCCTTCTGTCAGATTCTCTAGTTGGAGTTACTGCCTGCGGGGCCGTTCGGCTGCGACAGCGCTGTCTGATGACGTACAGAAGCATGGTGATTAGCAGACTGAGGCAGAGCACCAGCAGAACTGACACAACCACCAGCTCCTTAAGGTAGCAGCGTGTTCGGGCCGACAGCAGGGGCTCCCCATCCCGGAACTCTGCCTCTTTCTGCCCAGATTCATCTGTCCACAGGGTCACGTTTCTGCCCCGCTGTCTGGTGGTGACTTGAGTGTCCCTGTTGGACAGTGTCTCTCCTTGTCTTGTTTCTGTTGTTTTAGGCCAAGTCCCCAAAGAGGTATGCAGTCCAGGCAAAGGCCTGGCCACACTCTTTGTTGTCGGTATGTGGTGTGCCTCAGGCCAGGTGTACCTGGTTGGAATTTGAGTCATGGTGCTGCTCTTCTGTTTGACATGAAAGATGGCCATAGTTTGTTGGTAGCCATTCTCAGTGGACAGGCAAAGGTAGTGACCCAGTGTGGCGGGGGATGCCACAAAGCTCAAACTCCCATCCTCCAGGTGTAGGTACAAGTCTGAAGACAGCCGGCTGTTTGGACGCTCCCATAGCTGCTGGGAGAGCTGCGACGCCGCCTGACACTGCAGCCGCACCACTTCATTCAAAGACACTGACACCAGTTCTCCTGCAGGACATGAGGTTGAAATACAGATTACTCACCAAAACCCTCCATACCCCTCTACCCAGCATCATCAAATATCAAGAAAGCTGCAGACAGCAATCGAAACCTGCCAAAGAATGTGCTGACCAGGAAATAAATGCATAGATGTTACATGAGCATGTCTGACATTACTAAAGCAAAAAACTGCAAGCAACCTTATTATCTCCACTTGCTCATTGCATACTCCACGCCAAAGTGTACCTACTCTAACACAGGTATGTGGGATGTGCTAATTCTGAGTTTACATAAAGTATACACCAGTCCTTGAGCCCAATGTGGGATTACAAGCCATTAATGCAGGCAGGGGAAGTGAGGCTAATGTGGAACAGGGTGCACCATGTCTAGTCCGTACCATGACTGCAGGTAACCTCAAATCATCTCCTGAGACAGGTAAGTGACAAGTTATTCCTTACTACTAATCTTAAGGTAGAAAACACACACACACACACACACACGTATATAAACACACGTATATACACACATACATACATATATACACACACAGTACATATGTGGGTCAATGACATGACATTCATATTTTAGTGGGTCAATTATTTCCTTTTTAAATAATTTTATCAATTCATGACATATATCATTTCATTCAATAAAAGCTATTGAGTTTGAATACATTCAAATAATATTAATTCTTTTATGTTTTAGCATCTCAAACCCTGAAAATGTCTGGCGGCGCCACCATCTGAGCAAATGAACAGACTAAGAAAACTATCAAATATTTTTATTTTAATGATAATAAATTCAAGATTAATACAATGGCATGATTTTAAATAAACACAATTTTACAAATACCTATAGTTTAAAGCAATTGAGATCATTGTAAATCTTTTGTCCAGTAATTTGAGTGTTCTCAAATGTCAGGGTGGCACAACTGTAAAGATGGGACTTTTATTATAAAATTAAAGTGCAGAACAGTAAACAGGATATTGCATCATTAAGAGGACCCCTACTGACCTTTATGGCAGAGGGAAAATATTTTTAGATGTTTTTTAAATATTGATAAAAATAGCTACTTTTAACTCATAGGTAGGCTGGTACACTTTCCATTGTCAGGCGGTACAACCAATGTAAAACTAGAACTTTTTTTTCATCATATAAGTCTATATTGTATTTAAATATGATGTGTATGAATTTGCAAACAACAAAAAATATAGGAGTCCAAGAAGATGCCTGATTAATTTGAAATTATTTGCAAAAGTAAGGTGGTGCAACCACTAAGTCAGGTGGCGCAACTGCAAGGAATGTCACTTTATGATATTTTATTTAACGCTCTAAGAATATTTACTAAATGTTTTAATCGTTTAATAGTTTTAAGTTAAAGGCAGGCTAGGTGATGATGACAAACTAGCAATAGTATGCTAGATTTGAAAAGTTATCCAACCAAAAAAATGGCCGTGTTGCTAACTCTTCTCCAGTAAAACTAGCTAGCAGCACTAGATCCAAAAGATGCTAAATTGAGCAAGAAAGTGTCCAAGTCTTCAACACTGACAGTCTGTCCCTTCAGGCCTCCCTCCAAAGCCACTCCCCCAAAACTATCATTATAAACATAACCAACCAACCAGTGGCGGGCCGTGCATTTTATACCTGGGCCTTCTGTGCTGTCCTACTACACTTGAGCCAGCTCCTAATAACCTCATGATGCCACAGCTACGGTTATTATTTGTTTCTAGGGGTGTAACAATACACGTATTCGTATTAAACCGTTCAGTACGAGGCTTACGAACCGAACAATACGTTTGAATAATACTAGTGCGTTTGGAAAATGCAGAAGCTTAAATTGTGGGAAATATGTTTTCGGTGGACTGCGCTCACGTAATAGACAACGGGCTGTGTGACCTTTTGAACCTGGAACAATAACAAAAAACAGCTGAGGCCCCGCACGTGTCTTCAGGGAGGCTAAGCTAAACTAGCTTAGCGGGAGAACAACAGCAGCACGCAATCTACGAACTCTCCCCGCAGCGTTTAGCTGTTCCCTACTGATTCAGACAGGGCTAAAGCAATCGCCACATAATCCCTATTTCTCCAGACCACCATGCTTGCTTTGTAAAAAGAAAACAGCCCGAACGGATTCAATTGTCCGGACAACAACCTGCATGACGGGATGCTTCGTAATTAACGGACAATACATATAGTCCAAATCAATGTAATTAACAATGACAAGAACAAACTCACAAGAACCAGTCACATATATTTATAAGACAACAATGCATGACAAATCAATCCAGCAACACTGCAGCGCTAGAGCACGAGCCATTCGTATTCATAAAAACGACACGATAGACAAATGAACACAGTAGTAACGCTACTGCAGATGTAAAAAAAACAAAAGCAGTTGACTTACCAAAGCTGCTGTTCACTTAAAGACAAAGTCAGTAACTCCTAAATCCATTTCGTCTCCTTCAGCCATTGAGTGTTAAAAACACAAAGGAAAAAAAAAAAAGAATCTACACCAAGCAAAACGCTAAAAATGTCATAACTTCTTACATATGTTTCAACCTGAACTCTTACTAAATACCAACATCTGTTAGCTAGCTTTCTGTTTGACAAAAGTCACGCTGGCCCACTGACCAATCACGGTGCACGTTAATGCAGACGTACTTAGGAGGCTACCTGGGTACCACTGGCACGTCAAAGAATACACCCAGCATGTCAAACTAAAGATC